CGCACTGCTCACCTGGCTTTGGGCCGCAGCAGCACCGCGCGGTACAGGTGACTCGCCGGCAGGGGTCCCCGCGAGCCCGCGGGGTGCAGGATGGGGTGCAGGGCCCCCAGCACGTAGCCCTGGAGGTAATAGTCCTCCACTTCGGCTGCTATGTCCACGACCGAGTTGATCCTGATCATCTCCGGGCTTGACGGGGCTGAGAGCAGAAGCAGAGATAGCGGCACGTTACTTCCGTGCACGCGTGATGACACCCGCGCTGGTCCCACGCGCGCCACGCCGGCCTTGTGGTCTCCTCATGGCGAGCGACTGGGCGCAGGCGCTGTCTCTGAGCTACAGCCCCAACCCTTTCTATTGTATGATTTTGACACAAGGTCTCACTAAGTGGCCCAGGCTGGCCTCAGACTTGTGATCCTTCTGCCTCAGCCTCCCAGTAGCTGGGATTATACACAAAAGCAAGACCGATCTCAGGAACTGGTGGGCGTGTGATATTACCAATGTAGTAAAGCAGAGAAACAACGCTTACGTGGTTTGTTTTGTTTTTACCCCAAGGAAGACAGTTTTATTTTTCATGATTCCAAGTGCTTGCATTTCTACTAAAGTATAACAATGACCCATAAAAGAAATATCAATTTGAAGAACCAACTGTTTTTATGACCCTGAAAAAGATGAGGTGCATAATTTCTTAAAAATAAAATTGATGAGGCCGGGAATGTAGCTCAGTGGCCCAGCACCTGCATGGCAAACGCAAGGCCCCCAGTATGACTCTCGGTACTAAAAACACTCTGCTGCTGCACAGAGGCTTCCGAAGTGGAGGAAACCGTCTTGGGCTTGGAACCTCACCCAATACACCACTGCCAAATCCAGCGTCACAGAGCCGCCCTCTGTGTTTTATTCTAAGATAAAACTTTTAGGTCTCACATCTAGGTCAAAGATTTTTTAACTTTTGGTTTAAAGCTTGGAGAAGATCAAGGTGTGACTTTCTTTGTAAAAAATTGTTAAACTTGTAATTATTTATTTATTTGTATATGATTGCAATACAAATTGGTATACAGATTTAATGCAATCCCAATCAAAATACGGACAGCATTCTTTCAGAATCGGGGAAGACAGTCCTGAAAGTCACACGGAATCAGAGGAGACTCGGGATAGCCAGAGCAGCCCTGGTGACAAGAGCGCGGCAGGAGGCACCACGATCCCTAACTTGAAGCTGCAGCGCTAAGGACAGCACGGTCGTGGCACTAACAGACTGTGCGGCTCAGAGGAACAACACACAAGACGCAGACGCACTCGCAGGCTCAGGCAGCTCCCGGATCTCTGGCGAGCCGGCCACACGCAGGCCGGCAGGACGGCTTCTGGGTCCCGTG